TAAGTCAGTGGTGGCCATCTGCGACCTCTTTCCGGGGGCAGCTCTGGGGTCAGGCACCTTTCAGGAGGTTCAGTCTTCTTCCTCCTTTGAATTCTGCCCACACTGTCCCCTCAAGATTATCTCTTCTGTGCTGTGTCTCAGGCAGGTCTCTCCCACTCTGCAGACATCTAAGCAACCCTGGGTGTGTCCTCCTCCTTCCTTTCCACTCTGGCTCCCAGAGGTCCCTGGACATGCCCTTTGCCAGTGGCCAGTCACCTGAAGTTGCTTTCCATTCATAGCATCAGCCCAGAGCTCAAAAGCCAACAAATGCAGCCTCTCCAGCTAGGGTTTGGGATGCTCACCCCATAACTGGTCTCACTGCGCCAGTTGTTGAGGAACAGAAGAAATCAGCTGTGGTTTTCTTACCCTTGCTGGGAGCCATCTCTGGATGGCAGCAGCCACAAAGGATGAACTGTGCTGAGTTCTGTGGCTATGGGTGCTGTGGCCCAGCTTGCCGAGCAGCTGACTGTCCTGTGATACACTGTGCGCAGAAGGATGCCATCCATAGGAGAAGGCTGACGCCCAGCACGGGGTCGAGTGTTGGGCTCCGTAGGGTCCGGTTTGCTTTATAAGAAAATACATTAGTGAATGCTCTCAAGCGAGAGCAAGAAACTCATGGGATCTAGAACCATCTCTGAGTGCAGACTGTATTCCTTAAAATGTGTGCTTTGCTCACATAAGGTAGATTTCTCTGCAAAACTTTTACATCTTCTGATATTTGTTAATTTGTGAAGATGGAACAGACTTTAAAGCTCATTTGGAAACTTCACATTCATATGCAAGCAGATTAGCAGGACAGTCTGGTCTGAGCAGATACTGACAGCCAAACCTGCACAGGCTGCCTGTTAGGAACAGACTGGACAGGGCTGTTCATGGTCACTTTCCAGTGTCAGCTCCTCCATGTCACTGAGCCCTGTACTTGAGTTCGAGGCCATGAAATGTGTCCTAAATGTGACCCTGAAGTGTAGTTTCTCTCTAGTACCTCACTTTCCAGGCACGCCTTTGCTAGTCTCCTCCACTTCGTAGCCCATGCAGTGGCCTCCTTTTCCAGTGACAGGTGCTAAGACCATCAACTCACAAGAGAGGAGATCCCAGCTCAGGGCCTCAGCTGTGCATGGCTGCCCTGTGGCCTTGGGCCCACAGCCGGGAAGGTATCGTGATGTCAGCACATGGCAGGCCATCCCCTCATGGCCTGGATGTGAGGGTGGAGGAGAGGGAGGCCGGCTTCAGTGTCTCCCTCCCGGGCACAGCACAGTTACCAGAAATTTCCTGCCGACCCCAGCTCTTGAAGGCCCCATTCCCATAGCATGATGTCCCCAAGATCAGCACCTGGGCCCTGGTGGGAGCTGTGCCCAGACCACAGCTCAGCCAGGGTGGGGGTGAGGGCTCTCACAATTCTTTTTTTGTTGTTGTTGTTGTTTTTAATGTATTTGATACAGTGTCTCATTGCACAGCACAAACTCCTAGTGATCCTTCTGTCTTCAGCCTGTCCAGCGCTGGGATCATGGGCACGCACCACCACGCCCAGATTCAGTCCCTGGCTCCGTGCACCTGGGCAGGGCCAGTGCGGCACACAGTACAAGGGATGGAACCCCCGTCCCTGTACATGCTAAGCAGGTGCTTAGTCCACTGAGCTGTCTCACTTGCCCACAGTTCTTTTTTTGAGTCTGGAACTTTCATAGAAGGCTATGTGCTCAGTCCTTTATTAGCTTTTATTTTGAGACTGGGTCTTGCTATGTTGCCCAGGCTGGTCTCCAGTTCCCAACCTTCCTGTTTCAACCTCCCAGAGCCCTTGCAGGATTTTTCTCAGCTGTGAAGCACCAGTAGCCTCTGCCTTCTCACAGCCTCCATCCATGATGCTTTCTGGGATATTTCCTTGCGTAGGTTTTTCCCCTTACAGCTTCTGGTGGCTTCCTACCTCCTTAACAAGAGTGACTAACCCCCACCTGTGCAGAGTGTCCTAGTGGGGTGATTTCAGCCCTAGCTTTGGACCTAAGGCAGGTCAGGGATGCTTCCATGCTTCTCCTGCTGGACGCTGCTGTTGTTGGCATTTGGAGCTCAGGCTGGATGGTGTCCACACTCTGTGGGACAACACTCTGGCAAGTTACCCAGTATTAATTTGGTTGTGCGGTAAGAAAAAAGAAGATATATCATTTCAATGAATCCTGAAGGATTTGATCACAGAATGTCATGAGAAAGGAAACATGAGTTGATTTCCCTGCTTTTGTATGACAACAGAGGAAGGTGCCACAGTGCTTGTCCAGGATCGGCTGTTTGGTCACAGAGTGACCTCCAATGCTGAACGAGAACGATGACCCACACATGGTGTTTCTACTCAGAAAGATGAACGAGACAGAGCAGTGGCCCAGCAATCCCAAGTGCTATGAAGGTCCCTGGCTGCTGCTGTGTGCACAGCTGAGTGGCCAGGCTGCGGCCGCCACGTCTGCATCCCCAGCTCTGGTTACCTGTGGGCCCAGACAGCCCTGTGAGAGCTACCTCATTCTTCTTGTAAAACTTTTGAGATGCCCATGCCACAAGCCTGTGTGCAGGCTTAGTCTGTAGTGACCTTTCACATATAAATGCTGCAGAAAGACTGCTCACTGATTTTGTATGTATTGATTTTTCGCTAAGGTTTACTGCATCCACTCCCTGCACACTGCCTGACCCTGACCGGTCCATTCCTTCTACCTGCTCTCCTAGAACTGAGTCTTGATGAACCTATGAGGTTCCAGCTCTTTCAGCATTTGCCATCTTCAACCAGAGAGACTAAGATCAAAATTTTAAACCACTATTCAAAATTCATAAAACTACACATGAAAGAGATATGAATAAGTAAGCTTTCAAATGCACTAAAATTTCTAATATGTCTTCTATGCCTTCAACATCAACAAAAGTAAGAAACACGCCACTTTGTCTTACCTTAATCTGTCTGGTGTACCCCACATTTTGTGCTTTTTATGTTCTCTTGGAATACAGCCCTTGCTAGCTGCTTTGAGGTCGAGACTTTCCCGTCCTGTCGGCCTGCGCCCTCTGCTGGCCGGCGCTGCTCAAGGCGAGCCCGAGTGCCTGCTGCGGGATGCGCGCTGCCTGGAGCGCGGATCCTGTGCTGCGGTTGCCTGGCAACAGATGCTCGCCCAGAACTCTGAGTTTCCCAGTGGCATCCTCCTCGGCTCCAGATCAGCCAACTAGGATTCCAGAACCCCGCAAAAAGGGTCAGCTTCCCAGACTAGAATAGCAAAAGGCCAGATTATTGTTTTAAAATCAGCCCTTTGGGAGCTAAGGATGAGCGTGGTGGTAGGGCCTTGCCTGCATGCAGGAGGCCCTGGGTTCGACCCTCAGCACTGCGAAAAGACTTCTGTGAAAATGTCTCGAGACCCGATCCTAGACTAAGACTGGCATTGCACTTTCGCGGGAAACGTTTCATCGTCGAGTAAGGAGGGGCTTTTCTGTCACTTGGAGCGGTGTGCTGAGGCCGCCCTGGTCCTTAAGATGACGGGGACGATCGTTCCTGCCATTTCGGATCACTGCAAATATAAATAAATTACTCCGTGGACAAGGTTAGGCCCGGTGCCAGCCTCCAATCACTAACCAGAAGCGCAATCCTAGTGGGTGCGTCGTTACATCCAGAGGTGCGGGAAGGTCCTGGCTCCTTCTCGATCCTCAGAAGGCTAAGGGACAAACAACACTAGGACCCATCAGGCCCACAGCGTTCCCTGGAGACGCAGCAGCTCTGTCCCCAGGCCTCGGATACGGTGGGCTGGATGAGGAGGCGCGGACGTGGCTGAGCAGGGACCAAAGTCGACAGGCACCTCGGGACCCGCCCCTTATAGACTATGCATTATCCGCGGGCCTGGGGACCCTCCCCTAATGGAATATGCATAACTTGAAGTCCTCCAGACCCTCCTTCTTATGGAATAAGTATAAGCTAGGGCACCTGCGGATCCTCCCTCTCATAGAATATGTATGAGATTCAGGGCTTCGGGACCTATCCCGTAGAATATAAATTATCCGCCGGCCATGGGACCCGCCCCTCATAGAATATGCATACTTGATGGCACCGTCCCTCATAGAATATGCATTACCCACGAGGCTTCCGGACCCTACCTCTTGTGGAATACGCACGCACTTTGGGCCTTGGGACTCGCCCCCTCATAGAATATGCATGATCCGCGGGCCTCCCCGGAGCGCAGCGCCCAGAGCAGCTCAGGCTCCGCGCGCTGTGCAGAGGCGCGAGCCGCCGGGACCCGCGTGCAGCTAGTAAGCGCCTCTGCCCTCGCCAGAGCCGGCGCGGGCCCGGGAGGGGACAGTGAGCCGAGGCCAGGGGCGCCGGCCCGGGCAGGTGGCCGCGCTCGGTGAGCCGGCCCAGGCCCTCCCGAGCTC